ATGGCGAGTCGCTACAAAAAGCGTTAGGCAACGAAAGGCACGTTAGACACTTGGCTAGCAGCGGATGGTGGATTGGATGCGGATACCTCGTAGGCCAACGCCATGAGCTGGTCGTTCTCGTCCTGCCTTTCCTCCTCCTCTTCCTCCTCCTCCTCAACGACATCTTGGTGCAGAACACCGGGTTGGATGCAGTGCGACAGCTGCTCGTCCTCATCCGGATCATTTGGATCGTACTCATCCACATAGCTGGAAGATCAGAGCGACGAGCGGGGGGAAGACCAAAGAGGCATTTTTATCGAATTCGCAGTTGGAAACAAACAGGAAAATCGCAAAATCGAATAATCGCATCGGGCGGGGCATATATATACATATATTTCCACCCGATTTGTGTGTCAGTGGGCCGTTAAGATCTTTGTATATATAATAATAAACGCAACAAGTATGTATACAAAATGCACAGATTGCGATTAGTGGGGGTTAGAGCGTCGGCACAAAAAATAAAAACGCAACATCAAACAGCAAACAATGTATGAAGGCGAAAAACACAGCCATTCTCCGAAGGCTTTTTTCGGTCCTTATTAATCAGATTAATTAATATTTAATGTTGTCATGGTCAAAACACAACAAATGTCAAAAGAGAAAGAAGAAAATAGCAGACGGCAACCGAAACTAAATAGAAAAGTCGAGGGAATAGTACAACAAGTGCGTGGGTGCTGAGACGGCTGGCATTCTGACTGACGGGCATCGTGTGCCCCCTGCCCAGAACCCTTCCCTGCAGACTACCAGACTATCGCCCAACGAGAGATGCCCCTTCTAATCGCGGGAGTGCTGAAAAATGAGAAATATGATTGAGGGAACCACTACTCATGGCGATAAAAATAGCAAAAAGGCGTCGTCGCCGAATGGCAGGCGGAACAAGGGAGGTCGGCAGGAAGGGGCGCGGAGCAAAACAACACACAAGGCACGGATGAAAAATTGAAAAATTATTGTACCGCCGCACAATAATGAACAAACAAGGAGCAACAACAATGTAGAAAATAGTGGACTAACCCCATCACAACAGATCATTTGGACTTAAGAACAGACAAATTTAGTTTATGACTATTTTAATACATTTTGAGGGGCCATAATCAATTAAATATTTCACTACCTTCAATTATATTTTTGTATATATATATTTTTTTTTATTTTAATTTTCGTAAGACTAGCTAAACTTCAATTTTTCATTTACCCTGCAACCCTTCAAATATGTAAGTCGGCGTGTCACATCTATTGAAATTAATGTAAATATGGTGTAAGCTCTCCAGTTTTTGAAACTTATCACTACTTTAGTTTGCTACTACTTCATTAAATGTATTTGTATTTATTTAAGAATTTTTGTAAACTTTAATCATTTATTTTACCCTGTACTTCTAATCAGCCGTTGTGTTATGGTACAAATATTAGAATTAAAGTAAACTTATCACTAAAGATTTAGTTTATGACTATTTAAATACTTTTTGGGAGCCATGATCAATTGCATATTTGACTACTTTAAATAATGTATAAGTATTTACTTAAGAATTTTCGTAAGACTATCTAAAATTTAATCTTTCTTTTACCCTCTAATTCTTATCAGTGTGATATTTTGTATTATATCTATTGAAATTTAAGTAAACATGTCGTAAACCCTTCAGTTATTGTGGCTTATCACTAAATGGTTTCTAAAAAATCAAAACCCTATCAGCAGTACATGTTATTTTCTATTATACTAGACAAATAAGCCCTGTGACACATTTGCGATCTTTACCCTTTGGGAAATAGTATAATAATAAGTAGAGAAAACTCTTTATATTGCCAAATCGAACTTTATAAGGGGAACGTTCTCGGGGGAGAATTTCACAATGGCAGCGCTACAATTTGGTATCGTTTGAAAACCGGCTTCTTTACACCAAGTGTGAATGAGTTTTGGGAAAATTTCGACCGTCTCCGCCCAACACATTGTACAAGTATACATCTACATATGTATGTATGCTTATAGCCATCTATACTTTCTGGTCGCCGAGTGGGGTGGGGGTGGAAATCTAAATGCGTTCATCGGCGCAACTATTTTTAGCCCAAACAAACGATTTTCGATACAATCATCAGCCGGGGAGGATGCCCATTGCCAGACGGCAATTTTGGGAGTCCAAAACGAGGGTACACACCAGTCGAGCAGTTGGTAAACACCATCGGTGCAGAATGCAACAGACTGCGAACACAAATCAGGCAATTAGCAAACAACTTGCAAGCGATTCGGACACCGCCTTGTAATAAGTGGACATTGGAATGGGCATCGAAATGTGCCAACAGATTCTCGACAAGGAAGAAAATATGAAAATTTGATTTTGTTTTTTTTTTTCTCGATGGGAGCCAAACAAAAAGTGAAATAAAATTAAAAAAGCCGGACACGTCACGGCGACGCTAGGCAAATGTTTTCCTTTTCTCTCTCTCTCGGACTTATTGTGTGTGTGTGTGGGCGGTGGAAAATTAGCAGAAAAAAGGGGCGGTCGTGGGACTGTCCCTGGGCGGGGGTCAGAATGCGGAGGGCACACCTGACGGCCCACTGTAATTGGCCAAATACGACGAAAAACACAGCAGCACTAATCTAATTCATACAGGGCACTAGAAATTTGCAATAATTTAACAATTGAAATTCAAAATAAAGTGGTTTTATGTTTGCTCTTTAGGCAATCGAACGCTTTCAAGGTTTGCCATGAAATATTTCTCAATATTTTCTAATTTTGCTAGTGATGATTTTGTATCCTAATCATAACTCAGTCAACCGTCAATTTAATATTGTGGTTATTATAAATTTAATTAATTAATTATGCGTTCAAAGCTTGAACCAATTATATTTTAGAAATATATTTTACCAAGATATATGATTTATTAAATTTTTCTCATTTTCTTTGAATTTGATTTTCAGAATTTAAGTGGCGAAACGCTTTATTCAACATACATATATAGGAAAATTCGGGAAAAGCTTTATTTTAAGCAATCTATACATTTGAAAATTCCAGAAATTAATGCATATTGAAGTCTGTAAAATGGCATTATTTTAGTTCAGACACAACTTTCAAATTTATAAAAATTATTTAATACCTATTTATAGATCTTTTCAAAATTATAGTAGTTTTTCAAAATTCTAACAAGAATAGTTTTATATGTTGGTTGAGAAAAATGTAGATAACAAACACTAGCATTTTATTTACAAAAGTTGTTATGATATAAAAGCATTGTTAAACTTGAAATAAACAAAAGGGGTAACAAATTTGTAGGCCTGTTTTTACTTCGTTTTAAATCATTTATAAACCATAAAAATATGTGTTTCAGGCATAAACCAAAACAGTTTGTTAAATTGAAATTGCAAAAAGCTTTAGAATTACAAAAACTCAAAACCACTCATGCAGCGGAGGGTAAACATGCAAATGGACTACCTCGTCTCAATAGTGAAATAAGCCGGGGAATTGGATTCCGAGCCCCTGGAGTTGCAGTTCGCCGTTCCCTGGTCAATATCACAGTTGATCGAAGGAGTTGCACCATCGCCGGTGGTGGACACCATGCTGAGGGAGACCACGGTGGGCGGCTGGACCTGGACGAGCTTCTGGTTCTCGAACTGGTACTCCAGCGTGAAGCAGATGTCATCCAGATTGAACACCTGGGCGGTGCTCTCGCTGAGACTGGCTATCAGTGGAACTTCGGAGAGGCTGGAGCTGAGATTTTCGGTGCTATGATGATATGTGATGGGTATGACCGTGATGGGCATGGGCGTTAGTTCGCCCGCGTGCGGGAAACTATTGGAAACGATTTGTGGATGTGTGTGCGTTTGCGATGGATTGACTTCCTGCGAGAATAGGGTACTGTAGGACGCCTGGACGTCCGCAGAGTCCAGCGACAGGCCCAGATTAAGCACCTGTTGCTCGCCACTGGTGGTGGATTCGGCCGCCTGGCTGCCGTAGATGCTGTAGCTATCGCCGTGGATGATGCCCAGCCCATCTGTCTCCAGCTTTGGGGTGAGCAACTGGGACAGCGGCCTGTCGAAATCCAGGGAACCCATGGAGGAATTCGAGGCGACGGGCGGGGAGCCGGAGAGCGAATTCCGCGACGAGTTGGTATCATAATCCCGGCTGTCTGATAACGAGTTTCCGTGACTATTAACCGTCTTCCAGTCGACCTGGTAGTAGTGCTGCTGCTGTTGCTGCAGCTGTTGCTTTTCTTGGTCGTTCATTGCGGTTAAATATTATTATTTTTTCGCACACCCACGCACACTTAAGAACAAACGCCTGCTAAATCGCATATGCAGTTGTTGTTCTCTTTCTCTGTTGTCACCGTGCAATATATATATACTATTGCAAAAGATCGCGAGATCGAAAAGCACACATCCGCGATCGAAAAGTACAACACGGCGGATGGTTGATACGAAGAAACATCGATGCCAGCATCGATGTCATCGATGATTTCAAGACAACGGTTACATCGATGTTTGGCGGGGCAACATCGATATTTTCTCCATCCCTACTCTGCTTTCCCTCTGCGGCAGCGTTGCCCAATCATCGTTTGCCTAACATAAACGTTAGGATAACATGATCATGATCTAACATAGAAATGTTAGCAAAAACGACAATTTAACATTGCCGTTACAAATTCAACGATTTTGAATTTCGAACTTTAAACAAACCAGATTCCGGTGCATGATAGAGGACAACTTTGGAGTTGGCAGCTAACTATACCATATTCTTTTAGACATAGTAATGCTTTAATAATTCAGAATTGGATGAATTTTTTCCACAAGTCTTTTTTCTGTTGCAGGCCAAATCGCATTTTCATGTGCTGTGACCTGGATTGCTCAATGATACATTTTTGTGGTGCAAAACCTGAAGGTGTCCAACAACTGGAGTGCAACAAGCAAAGAGGGAAGCCGAAGCCTTTGAAATGCAGCATCCAATATTTGTGAAGCCAAGCAGCAACTTAAAAACTTCATCAGTAGTTCGTTGATCGTCTGGTCAATCGGTCGCACTCAACTGCCAACTCAACTGCTTCAGGATGGAGAAGTGCCGGGCCTCCTCTAGGATATTGATCGTCGGGGCAGGACCTTCGGGAATAGCCGCTGCCAGCCGACTCCTCCAGAACAACTTCAGCAATGTGCAGATCCTGGAGGCGGAGAACCGCATCGGTGGCCGGATCAATACCATCGCTTTTGGGGACAACGTCATTGATGTGGGAGCCCAGTGGTGTTACGGAATGCAGCGGAATTGTGTGTACGAAATGGTCAAGGATCAGGATATTCTGCACCAAACGGGAGACTATTACAGCACCATGAAGATGGTGAGGTCCAACAAGGAAGTGGTCGCCCACGAACTGGGTGGCATATTGCACGATATTGTGGCTAAGAGCATGCCAAGTGGACCCCATCCGGTGGTGGGCTCAGCCGGCACCCATCTGGTGGAGAACTTTTGGCGGAAAATCGATACCGATCTGCCCCGTGTGGACAGGACTTTGGCTAGTGAGGCCTTGGATTTCTTTGCCAGGCATGAGAGTTCCATCTTCGGTGCGGACAATCTCTTCGAGGTCTCGGCAAGATCACATGTCGAGTACGATGCCTGCGATGGCGACAAGCTGCTCCACTGGGGCAGCAAGGGCTTCCAGAGATTCCTTCGGCTGCTGATGAAGGTCAGTGAGCACGAGCCGGAGAGTCTGGGCTTACTGGAAGGTCACGTCCGGCTGGGCAAAAAGGTCACCCGGATTGAGTTGACAGCGCCGCGTAAAGTAATTCTGCGCTGTGACGATGGGGATTACTTTGAGGCAGATCACGTCATCTGCACCGTATCCTTGGGAGTCCTGCAGGAGCAGCACGAGAAACTGTTTGTGCCGCCGCTTCCTCCTGCCAAGGTCAAGGCCATTCGGAGCCTAACCCTCGGAACCGTGAACAAACTGTTCATGGAGTTTAAGCAGCAGCCGTTTCCCGATGATTGGGTGGGTTTCTTCTGCCTCTGGCTGGAGCACGATCTGAGGGAGCTGCGCAAGACGGAGCATTTCTGGCTGGAGGGGATTACCGGTTGCCACAAGTTCACGGGTCAGCCAAGGATGCTGATGGCCTGGGTGGGAGGACCACATGGCCGCCACTCGGAGACCCTGTCCGAAGAGAAAGTCGTGGAGGGATTGCAGTGGCTCTTTCGTAAATTCCTGCCCTTTGAGATGCCAGCGCCCAAGCGTTTCCATCGCAGCAAGTGGTTTACGAATCCGAATTTCCGCGGAAGCTACAGCCATCGATCCACAAAAGCCGATGAACACGACACTGGACCCTGGGATCTGGAGACACCTGTAACTGGACCGGATGGCCATCTCGGCCTGCTTTTTGCCGGAGAAGCCTCCAGCAGGAAGTACTTTGGCACTGTTCATGGCGCCGTTGAGGCGGGCTTTCGCGAGGCTGATCGTTTGATTGGGAACTACTCCTCTTGCGATTTAAATTCTTAAAAAAGCTGGTTTTTATTACTTCTCTTCGCCTTATTTAGTTATTTGTGTTATTTGTTTCTTAAATAAAATTATTTAATCGACCTCTATGTAATACAAGATTTTTCACTTACATTAGATATATATTGTTAAACATAAAGTTATTTACAGTTACACAATTTAAAGTATAAATAAACGTCTACAAAAATATATTTTGAATGGTATTTTGTTGAGACCTAAGTTGCATAAAAAATAATATATTTTTGAACCCTTTCTACGTAGCCTGCGAGTTACATTTTTCCCTACTTCCGCTTTTGACACAACAAATAACTAAAAATAAAGTTTAAAAATTATCAGATAAAGCTTAATCGTCTTTTGCTTCAAAATTGGCGCCTTTTATCGATTTACCGTCTATCGTTTATCGCATCAGCTGTTTAAGTGTCATCACTAATTGAACTTCAATTTGTTTTTTTATTTGACATAACCATAACACACAATTAAAAATGCAAATAATCAGGAATTGCAGTAGTAAATTACTCAAACACAAGTACCTGTGCCAGCCAAAGGTGTACTCCCTGTACTACAGCACAGTTAAAGGTGCGTTCTACCCGATTTCTTTCATAAATCCATAAAGCCGGCTGAAGGATTCAGTTTCCTCCCTTTCCAGATGCGACTAAGGAGCTCCCGCTGGCCACAGGATACCAGCCACGCCCCGTGGAGCAGGCCTATTGGGAGCGGGAGAAGCAACAGGTGAATCTGCCAAAGGCTTCAGCCAGTGGTTGCAAGCGGGGCACCTATCGCATGCTGCTGCCGCCGCCAAATGTCACCGGGAATCTCCATTTGGGACACGCTCTCATGGCCACCGTGCAGGATGTGATTGCCCGCCAGCGCCAGCAGCTGGGCTACCAGGTGGACTGGGTGCCGGGCACAGATCACGCAGGGATTGCCACCCAGGTGGTCGTGGAGCGCACCATAGCCGCTTCGCAGGGCAAGACGCGGCAGGAACTGGGCCGTCCGGCCTTCCTGGACGAAGTGTGGAAATGGAAGGCGGAAAAGGGCGCCGGCATTGTGCAGGATCTCCGCCAACTCGGCTGCAGGCTCAACTGGCAGCGCGAGTACTTCACCATGGACAAACAGCAGGCCCATGCCGTGAACGTAGCCTTCGAGCGACTCTTCGACGAGGGTCTCATCCGGCGTCGCAACTCGCTGGTCAATTGGTCCACCAGTCTGCGCTCCGCCATCTCCGACATCGAGGTGGACGTGGTGGACATCAAAGAACCCACGGAGATTGCCGTTCCGGGCTACGAACACAATGTACTCTTTGGCCGGATGTACGATTTCGCCTATCGCGTGGTGGATGGCGAAACGCTGCCCGACGGTTCGGTTGAGGAGATTGTGGTGTCCACCACCAGACCTGAGACCATTTTGGGAGACGTAGCCGTTGCCGTGCATCCGCTTGATCCACGCTACAGCAAGTACCGCAACGTTGAGGAGGTGAAACTCAAGCATCCCTTCCGCCACGACACAATTCCACTCGTTTTTGACATCTCTGTGGACCAGGAGTTTGGCACGGGTGCCGTGAAGATCACTCCTGCCCACGACAAGTTCGACTTCGAGCTGGCCACGCGTCATAAGCTGGAGCCGCGCCAGGTGTTCAGCGAAACGGGAATGGTGCTGGAGGCCTATCCCGAGTTCAAGGGCAAGCCGCGTTTCGAGGCCAGAGAGCTGATTGTGAACCGGCTGGAGGAGATGGAACTGCTGCGTCAGGTGCGCTCCCACAGCATGCAATTGCCGATCTGCTCGCGTTCCAAGGATGTCATCGAGTACATGATCTTGCCGCAATGGTTTCTCAAGTGCAAGGACTTGGCGGCAGATGCTCTATCCGAGCTTCACAGTGGCCGGCTGCAGATCCAGCCCACTAGCTTCGAAACGGAATGGGAACGCTGGCTGCAGGACAGTCGCGACTGGTGCATATCCCGGCAGTTGTGGTGGGGCCATCAAGTGCCCGCCTATCAGGTGACCGACTCCCGGGGCAACAGTCAATGGGTGGCCGCCGTTGACGAGCAGGCAGCCAGAAAGAAGGCCATGCAATTGGTGGGCAGCGAGGAGTTTACACTGACCCGTGATCCCGATGTGCTGGACACTTGGTTCTCCTCCTCACTGCTGCCATTCTCGACGGCTGGCTGGCCGGAGGAGTCGTACAAGGAGCGTTACCCACTGGACCTCATGCAGACCGGCCACGACATACTCTTCTTTTGGGTGGCACGCATGATGATGATGGGCCTGAAGCTGACCGGCCAGGCGCCCTTCCAGAGGATACTGCTCAATGGCATTGTGTGCGATGCCCAGGGCCGCAAGATGTCCAAAAGTCTCGGCAACATAGTGGCCCCCCAGCAGGTGGTTCAGGGTGCCAGTTTGGAGGTGAGACCTGCTTTTCATATCCTTAACTATTTCTGATTTTTGTTGCATCCTACAGAGTCTAAAGGCTGGCCTAGAACAATCCTGCGAGGCGGGCATCATTAAGCCCGCGGAGCTAAGCACTTCCACGGCTGGCATGACCAAGATGTTCCCCAATGGCATCCAGGAGTGCGGTACCGATGCCCTGCGCTTTACTTTGATGAGCCACAACATCAAGAGCCATTTCATCAGCTTCGATGTGAACGCCTGTTACACCAACAAGCTGTTTCTTAACAAGATTTGGCAGGCGATGCGGTTTACTTTGGGATCCGCCAAGGGACTGGGCATTTCGCTGAATCAGTTCGAGACCTTGGAGGGTGTAAATCTGGGTATGTGGGATCGCTGGATCATTGGCCGCCTGGCGGAGACTTTGTCCACTTGCTCGCAGAGCTACAGCAATTACAATTTCCACTTGGCCACGGCAGCCTTGAAGAACTTTTTCTATCAAAATCTATGTGATATTTACTTGGTGAGTAACAACACACTTTAATGGTTAATGTATTTCCCTAAAATATGGCTTGGCCAATCGTCAGGAGACCACCAAGACGGCAATAGCCAATCGCACTGCCGATGCCTACATCCATGTGGGCACTTTGACCGCCTGTCTCAGTTGGGGACTTCAGGCCATGGCTCCATTTACGCCCTTCGTGGCATCCGAGCTGCTGCAGCAAGTGCCGCTGAACATTGAGCTGAAGCTGTCGGACTACCAAGACACCCAGCTGGAGGACGAGGTCAACGAAATAGTGAACATCTGCCAGAACGTGCGCCAGGTGAAGAGTCGCAACGAGATCAGCAAACGGCACCAGCCGCATCTCAGTTTGTTTGCCCAGAATTCCGAGGCGGAGGGCGTGCTGCGTCGCCACTTACCGCAGATCAAGGTGCTAACCCGTTGCGAGGGCGTGGATCTGGAACTGCTCGACGAGAACTCAAAGATTTCCAAGCAATTGAGCTTCTTTTCGACGGCGGGCGCCCTTTGCTCCTTTGGCTTGAAGTTGAGCGATGCTTTGGCGCTGTCGATGGAAAAGCGCGATGAGATGCATATGGCCAACACCAAGAAACTAAAGAAGCTGGTCAATGAGCTCCAGCGGTACCGCATGCGTCTGGACAATGAAGCCTTCCAGCTAATGGCCGACAAGACTGTGAAAACGCATTTCGAAAACAAGGTTAACTTTGGAAATATTTCGTAATTAATTTGGTTATCTCAGAAAGCCATTTGTAATTGCAGGTCAAGGAGCTTGAGTCGGAAATCAACAGCCTCACACGGCTGGCAGCGTGATCATTTACAAAATCAGTTTAGATAATGCCTTTGTTGTTGTTATAGAACCGACTAAAGTCGCCTGTTTGTTTTAGAATTAAAGACTGCCATAATTATTTAGGTGTATAATTCTACGAGATTAAGTTTCCCCTTTAAACTGCTAACTCTTTTGTCACAAACAACCCGAATATAATATGTATTTTTCTTGGAACACATTTAAACTCCCATTAGATCATTTTTGCTAATTGCTACTTTCACAAAACATTTAAAACAAATCACTAGTATGAATGGATTTCTTATTTGTTTTGTTACTTTCCAATAATAACTAATCATCATATTTTTTCAGATGAGACAAGTTTTCCCTTTGATGCTTTCCAGAAATACTCCTTAATTTTTAATGCTATCATAATCAAGTCTTTTCTTTATTTTATGCCATAGTTACAGAATGGGACATGCGTTCTGCGAATACGACAGATAGAAGCCGCGATTCGATATGTCCATATCCTCGTTGCCATCGGTGACCGTGTAGACCACGAAAGGCTTCGCCGCCGTGGTCGTGGTGACCAGACCCAGTCCACAGAAGCGATCGCTGGGCATCGCAACGCCGTCCTGCGTTGGCGCCGGAATGATGATGTAGTCGGTGGTGCAATCCTGGCTCTGCACCGATGAGGTGGCCAGCAGCGTTGGATCCACGGCGCCCACATCGTTGGTCAGCGTAAAGGAGTACGTGTCGGAGCCGACCTGGCTGTACGAGATGGAGCACATTCCGGCCGCCTTGCGGATGCATATCCCGTACTTGGTATTCGCCAGCTGCCTGGTGCCCTGCACTCCAATCGAATTGAGTGCAGAGGAAGCGGCCGAAACGTAGTTGAAGCTGGCCAAGGTGCCACTGCTGGGCATATAGTACTGCAGGCATCCGGCCGGAGCCAAAGTGGCCGATGAGCAGCCCAGCATCCGGATCTGGAACTGCCAGTTGCGATTGAAGGTGTAACTGCCGGACGTGGCCACTGAGATGGTGATCGGACTGACGCCGTTGAAGTCCACATACACATGCTGGCCGGCGTTCTCGCCACAAATGCTGGGCACCTGTGAGGCTCCACCGGTGATGGTCAATGCATCGGTGGCACAGGATCCGTCGCCCGACGGAGGAGCCAGCGACAGCGAGAGGAAGTCCACGCGCAACTGGCAGATCGATGAATCCGGAGGCGTGACCACAATGGAGCAGCGACCGCCGCCCGCATACGGAGCCGGATAGTTGCTGTTGTAGAAATACGTGTTATTGTACGAAGTACTCGCTCCACATGTCCTCTGATCTGCAAGAAAAAGTTATAAATTAGTCAAAAGATTGACATCCCCGTAAACCACTTACAAATGCAGCAGATGGCCTGGGCTGTGATGGAGGAGCAGCTGCCCGCCGCCACACCGCTGTTGTCCGAGCACTCGCCGTTGATTACGCAGGTGCCCAGGAGCAGATTGTTACCGGTGCAAATGTCATTGGAAAAGCGGCCAATTGTGTAGAAGGGAAACCCTAGAAGTAAGAGATATTTGTCAGTAGAATGGCATTGAAAAGTCTCCGGATGCACAGGTAAATGTAGTATCAAAGGAAATAGATGTTTAATTTGTATTTATTATTTGAACTTGCTATCAGCCCTTTTATCTCACCCTTTTAAACCCTAAAAGATAACTGGACAGTGGTCCTTCTTTACGTGCGAATTTCATTTTCGTAGTAAAATTATAACCGTTCCCTAAAATATATTTACATCTAAGTTCCCAAAATATGTATATAAAAAGGCTTATAATCAAAGAGATATTTTATTTTGAATTTAATTATTTATTTTTAAAGGAAAAAAATTAAAAGTACAAGTTTTTAAATTGCAATATGCATTGAGTAAAAAATTATGTTATTTAGGATTTTTAAATGGTTTTTAAAAATGTATATTTTGGCTTGGACTTCTGAAACTCTTCTCCTAATCATTAATTTCAATGGCTTGGTTTTGAAAAAAAAATTTGAATATTTAAAAATTAAAATTTTGTTGCTTTAGTTTTTTTTTGCTTAAATTTTCTAAAATAAATAAAATTTCTAAATATCAATGTGAATAAGTAACATTTTAAGTAATTTTTACACCCTATTTTTTTGAATTACAGAAAATCCAACAATGGGAGGTTCTACTATAAGTTTTAGAAATGCAATGCGCAAATGGAAACGTTTTCCGCGGATCCAATGATAATTTTAGGGCATGGGGACAGCTAAGACTAAAGAATCCACCTGCGGCACATGCACAATGGGTGATAATTGAGGCCTGACCCACATACTTCCACCACGACGATGAAAAACAAACCGCCGGCATTCATCTTCATAAGAATCACCTGCTGTGGAGCTCAAACTTACAGCGAGGGTGTCGCGATCCACTGCGGGCCAAGCTGGAGTCCTCCTCCTCCTCCTCCTCCGCGAGAAGGGTATCATTGCCGGGGATCAGGGTGTTGTTAACTTTCAACTCCGACATTAGCATCAAACTACTGGCACGTGCCGCACTATAGATGCCCACTATGTAGCTGCTGAAGAAGATGGCCACGAGGGCCAGAAGCTGCGAGGAACGACCGCCGGCAGACATGATAATGACAATCGGATATCGTATGGATCACTTTCGGTTTTCACTCGGGGAGCTGGAACTATTGCGGCTGCAACGGAGCTGGAACGGATTGGCTACCGATCGAGAGAGAGACACAATGGAGACTGAGCCGACGAGATCCGAGTTTTAGGGGCATAGTCGAATGGGCCAGGCCAGTGGGCTGGTGGCCAGTGCTCAGGTGCTAATTGGGAGAACCCGACAACACAACCCATGCACCTTCGCCAGGGACGGCTGGAGTTCTCCAAAACTGCACTCTCAGACATTACACTTCTTTCATGGTATATGAAATTTTTCAGAAAATTTAAAAACTACTACTAACCACTTGTTACATTTATAATTTTAACATTATGAATGTCGAGTATATCCCAATTTAATTATTGCACTCATCAAACAGATAGTAAAATATTATTTATCTCGGTTAAAATTGAGGTAATTTAAATAAAATAATAGAATTGATTTCAATCTAATGTTGTTTAAAAATTATCTTAGTGATGATCTTAATCATTGAAAAAAATCTTTATTTTAATAATAATAGCATCGTTGTAAGTCTTTATTTTAGAACGTATATTTTTTTAAACTTTGATAATATCCAACTGTAATTATAACTGATTTTTCAAGCACAACGAAATTTAATAATGCATAGTTAAAAATCTTGTATCCTCCTATAAAAACCTTAAAAAAGGAATTTTTTTTTACCGAAAACAATTTGCAATGCTTTATAGAAAATTTTCATTTTCTTTTCTGGATTCCTTGTATAAGGATTATGTATTTAAAATGGATTTGTAATTGAACACAAAATTTTAGGTCTAAACCATAAAAAATTTTGGAAAATAATTATAAAGCTCCTGGTACAGTATCTAAATATGTTACCATTAGCAAAAAGTGATCTTTAAAGTTTCCATATTCATTGACCCATTTTAAATTTTTAATGAATGAATTTCACTCCCTTGTTTACTAGATAATCCGCTCCTGCCCGAAGATCGTGTGGGTCTTATTTCGCCTGGTCGAGAGAGAATGTGGAGCACTCACGCATGGGAAGTGATCGGCTTCTTGGTCCGTATTGGCATTATTCGTTACCGAAATTTACGCGTACCGCTTCTGGATGACAACAAACCGATTTTCTGGGCGAGGAAAGTGATACAAATGACTGGCACTGATATCCAATTTGGCGGGTTTGCGCACGCGTGTAGCGCCGCATGATTCCCCGGATGGAGTAAAAGAAAGTGTCTAGTGTTTGCTCTTCGCTCCGGTTTGTAAGTCTAGGTCTAGACTAGTATTTTCTTTCCGCTCGAGCCAGTTTAATAAATGGCTATAAATAAAATCGAAAACTTTGGGCCCATTGTGATCGGTCCGTTTACAGATGATGTAACGGTACAATCTTGATCAGTTTGGCGCGTGTTTTTGAGTCTTCGGCTAAGCGATCTGCTTTGCTGCATTTACTAGAACGCGGCACGACGCCAATTAGCAGGACATCACTAATCGCCGACTATGCGGACACTAATTAATGTTTAATCCCAAAAGGAAGGTAAAAGTGGATTGGCCTTGATTGTTTTCCAGCGCGAAGCGTAGAAAGTTGCAGGTGATCCGCCGAGTTGCCAACTGTCGATCGATTTTTGTTATTTAAAGTCATGTTGTGGCCCTGTTAACCAAGACAGTTACTTTTATGCAAAAATTTGGGAAGACAAATTTAAAAAATCTTGGTAAAATGAATTCTAAACCAACTAAACAAATGATTAATAAGATTGTAAAAAATATAAATAATAATAAATGCTTTGCAAAAGAAAAAATAACAAAAATAATTTAAATTAAATGAATGTCTCCAAACCAATTATGTTACCTTAATTAGATTTAAAAAAATAATAAATAATAATTTTAAAATATTTTGAGTCAAAGTGGAAATTAAATGACTCATCGGCTTTAAACCAATTTTTATTTTTTATTTTTACTTTGTGGCATTTAATAGACTATCTCACAGCATCAAATAAATTCAAAATTAAATTTCCTTGAATTGTAATTCTTGGTAAAGCTATAAAGTAATATTTGTTTATAGTTTCGAAATAGAGATACATTATTCAAAACAATTTATTAAATTGCAATTTAAAAAAGTATTTTTTGAATGCTAACCAATAAGAAATAGTTAGAAGCCTGAAGTAAGCTAAATAAAAATTGGCTAAGAAAACGTGGATAAATTATATAAACTCAGTGAATCGAGACTGCAGGTAAGCTAAATTTCGACAAAGGTTGAATGAAAAAGTCTCCTGCCCTACAATAAACTATTATTTTGCTAAAGAAATCGTTAAGTTTACAGCAAATGTTGCCTGGCTTTTTATTAAAACAATAACTAGCAGCTAAACGCAGAATAAGAAAACGAAGTCACCGTCGATCCTACTCGATTTCGATGATGGCGCCCGCCTTGGCCAGCGCTTCCTTGAGCTTCTCGGCCTCCTCCTTGGGGATGTCCTCCTTGACGATGGTCGGTGCGCTCTCCACAAACTTCTTGGCCTGGACCAGATTCATGCCCTCGAGCAGGTTCTTCACCTCCTTGATCAGCGCCACCTTCTGCTTCTCGTCGAACTTGACCAGCTTTACCTTGAAGGAGGTCTGGACCTGCTTGGGCGCCGCCTCCTCCTCATCCTCGGCAGAAGCAGCACGTGCCGGCCCAGCGGCGAATTGTGGGGCAAATGCGGTCTCGGGCAGGTTCAGTTTCTGTTTAAGCAGCGTGCTCAGTTCGGCCACCTCGAGAAGATTGAGGGCGGCGATGTTGTTCACAATGGAGTCCAGCTTTGGATTGGGTGGCTTGACCACGCCTTCCGGCGCGGGAGGCACTAGTTTATCAGCTCCAGAAACTGCGGCAGCCGGAGCCGCTGCACTGTACATGCGATGCAGCTGCACTTGGCGCGAAATCTGGCGAATGGCGAGGCGTGTGATGTGCATCCTTTTTGTATCTAGAATCGTGTAGTCAAGGTTTAAGTAAGCATCTAGTCTAAATGTCAATATATTCCTATTTACTTGCGGTTTTCGGGGGACAAAATTAATTATGTGCGGCAGCAGGTTATGTGAGCAGTTGTTTATCGATAACCAACCAGGGCTGCAAAGTATATATTTTTGTTCTGCGGCATTACCATGTCTGAATATACCCAACTGGCCTTAAAAAATATAGTAACGTTAAAATACCACAGAGCAGAATTTATTTTCAAATTCGAAATTGCTTGTAGTTTTTATTACATAAAAGGTTATTATTGGATTTACTAAAAACAAATCTTTTAGATTTTAAACTAATTTCAAGCGAACGTTTTGATTAAATAGACAATAATTTTAAAATCCCTTTTTAAAAGACCGTAAAGTTTAAATTGCATAAGATACTTTTGGTTTCTATTTGTGACTATATTGAAAATAGGTTTGTTTTTAAATATTGAAAAATTAAAAAATGGTTTATATTAGAAAAAAAGCAAATTTGACAAAGCCAACCACCCTGTAAGACATAATAAATTAATGCAAATGTAATACAAATATTTAAAATTTATTATGATTTATATGTAAAGTTTGTGATAAGCACCTCTTTCGACCAAAGTGGATTACAAAGAGTACACCTTGACGTAGTCGATCTTCATGTGCCCCTCATCCAGCCAGTGGTCTCGATTTTTCTTGACATCCTTCCAAAAGGCCTTTTGTGCCTGCGGCGCCCTCTCGTTCCAGGGCTTAACCACGTGTTGGTACTCGTTGAATCCACCCACGCTGAGGCCGAAGGTAAGGTAGAACTCCTGATCGAAGGGCGCCAGTCCAGAGCCCTCCTCCAGTTTCTGGGCCTGGGGCAATCGTTTTCCGGCGGCGGTTGTCTCACTAAAAGCTCCCTTATCACTTCCTTGGACACACCACTCCTTGCCGTCGACCAGCCAACGAAGTTCCCGTGGAGTCCATTCGAGGGTATAATTGTGGAAGCTATCGCTCCAGTCCTCGGAACTATCACCAGTGCCCGGTTTCAGGCAATTTTTGACCGATCGCAGGGGTTCGTCTGCGAATAGAACGGCAGCGGCATACAGATCTAGGTTAGCTCCATTCGGACGTGTGTAGGCAATCCTTAATTGTCCTGACCGGTAGTCATCCACTCCGTACCTATGGTGTTTGGGCTGCAGCCAGATTTGCGGCGTCACCCACTGTGCACGCGGCATCTTGGCACGCACCTCCACGCGGCCGTACTTGAAGGAGAAATCCTTGGAGGAGAACTGGGCGGTGACCATTGGTGGAAGGCCATCGTTCATGGTCCTGCCATTCCTAACGCAATCATGGGTATTAGCCACTCCCGTGCACTTGTCCCCCAAATCCAAACTGGCATCTGATCCCTTGTGGAAGTGCTTCCGCATCGTATTCGTGGACAGAGCGACGTGACCATTGGTCAAGCACAAAGTGTCCGGCGCATCGTCCACATAAACATTGAATTCGTAGTCTGGCTGGCCAGAAAAGCGGCGCTCTGCCTTCCATTTACCAGGATCCAACTTTGCAGCGTTGAACTCATCCACGAAGACCAGTTGCCCGGCACAGCGTGTGGGTGCTCCATTGACCTCTGTTTGGGGGGTGGTGCAACCCACTCTAATGTCAATATCCGGATCGGCAGGTGGACTCCATGGCGTGGTGACAACAGGCACGACAGGAGGACGTGGAGTGTTCGCCGAGGTGTTATTACCACTGTACGCATTGACCACATAAGACCCGTCGTCTTCGCGATAACCCAGTCCGTTGTAGATAACGTACGTCCAGTAGTACAGCGTGTCGCCGGGTTTCAGTGCCGTAGTACGATCTCTGAAGGTCCAGCGGCCGTTCTTCGCCTTGACGATGTCCCGTGCCCAGGTGCCCGCCTCCAGACCCTCCATCTCCTCGTTCAGTTTGCCATGGAAGGCGAACAGACTGATGCCCTCCTCGTCGGGAATCGAGACCTCGAATCCCTTGGGGTAGAACACCTCGATCCTGGCCTTTGTCACCTCGTATCCCCGTATACCGACACCAAGGAGAAGGAGGAGCAGCAGGTGGAGACAGCAGCTCCAGTCCGCAAAGCGCGATCCACCCGCCATCGTGGGAATAATAATTGAAACTGCGATGAGCGGTCTGACAAGTCGTGCTTGGGAATCCGAGAAGCTTATCAAGAACCGGTCGGGGCTTTCATTGTTTATAGCGCACAGTGAAAAATTAAAAGCAGGTAAACTTAAATTCAAAAATTAAAACCATAAAAAAAGTTATTATTGTTTAGCTTACAGTTGCCTTTCAGTTGTTTAATAATATGGAAAAACGCTTTAATAACTGCCTTAAACAATACTAGCTTATTAAGGTTTGGGATAAATTAACATATTTTTTAATGTAAATGTTGAAAAAAATTAATGGAAAAAAAACTGGTTAGTGCTTAAATTTTTAACCATTTAATTATGGAATTCATAAGGTATGGTCAACTTCAATTTGTTTGAATACCAACTTTTTTTCATTTCTTAGTGTATCTACTCAAATTGTCCAACCATAAAAATGGAGACAACCTATAAAAAAACACTTGGGATTTACCCAAGCACAGTTTTAAGTGTATATATTTATGAGTCAAAGAAAAGAAACGCCGTTTTAAAAGAGGTAAACAAACATATACCAACATATCCCCAAATATTTGTAAATACAAATATATGTATATAGCTTTTTTAAAAAAGCCGCTCTTTTTCTGCCAACGCTGCCCAACACTGTCAAATCAGCTGTTAGTGGTCCATCGATAATTTCGCTGCCTATGTATCGTTGTAGGGTATTTCCCAGCGTATTAGTAAGCTTAGAACTTTAAAAAAATTTTAATTTTAAACAGCCAAACGGTTTAATTAAATAAAATAATCTTCTCAGATAAAGAATTATGGGAAAACTGCAAGGACAAGTCAGCTCATTTCGTTCCTGACAAAAGAATAAAAGTCATTTTAAAATAACCATTAGTAAAAGGCATACATCAGTCGATACACATGACTAATAATAAGCTCCACCGTTCAGCAGGCGATGAAATTCTGAGTCTCGTCCGTGTGCTTGTCTGATTAGCTTTCGTTCTCTCAGTAGAAAAATTTGTAGAAAACTTCACACACATAAAAATAACAAAAAAAAAAATGAACATAGTTTTGTAAAATAAAACAAAAGCGAGACACTGCGGGCGCGTATATTTTGAGCGTTAACTTTTTCTAAAACAGTGTTTTTGTGTAATTCTTTGAAATTTGGAAGAGAACGAAAACGCATCGCAAAGGGGACAAACAAAAGACAATAACAAATTCGCAGCGCGTGTGTGCGTGGTGTGTGTGAGGGAAGGTGCCAAAAGAACGCGCTGATAAACAAATATTCAATTGGATCATTGGCTCTGTGTTGTTATTGTAAGTAATGCAGATTTATGTAATTCGCTTGTGTTTTTTCAACCATCCATTGTTGTTGTTTCCCTTTCAAGAAAACAGCTGTGGCGTTGCCAGATAACAAATCGCTTTATGTAATGCCTTGCCATGTTTAATTGCGCTTAATTGCAGTGCTTAACTTAATTGTTACAACATTCGGGGGCATTATTTATTTTCCTGGCTAATTACGAGTGACATGTAAAGTTATCGATATATCGATTGCCCAGGGTTACATGGCCACACTGCGCCGTCGCCACTGCAGCGTCCAAAGCAGCTGTTGTTGTAAGGGGTTGGAAAAGGGGGGAGGGCGAAAGCACAGCACGAAACACCGCACGAAAGCAAAACAAGCGAGAATGATTGATTTTTCGTCGTGCGTCGTCGGGAAAAGTAGTCGATTGGCAGCTTCGCGGAAAAGCGGGCAGCAGTGAAAACTTTTAGTATCACAGTCGTTGCTGACGAGCGGAACGGACCGCAGCTCGGGAAAATCAGGGAAAGAAAAAACACGCGAGGGCCGTCTTACCAAATTGGAATATAAATTCATCCGAAAAGTGTTTTGTGTAAATAGTTAATTTGTTTTCTAACCAAATTACCAGTGGGAATGGTGTATTAGTGCTGTGTAAACGAGAGCTACCGTTAATCCCGAGGAGAGATCCGAGTGCAAAGGAATTTTCGTACGTCACAGGCTGTGCGTATGTGTGTGTGTGTGCACCCCCGGAAATGTAACACTCACACTGGCGCATTGAAAAACTTGCACCTGAAAGTTTTCGTTTCCACCTTCGTGCGCCTGCTCTCGGTATTTGAAAAGCAGAAAAAACGCTGCAAAAGGTTAGTTTTCCGCTTTTCAGTGCACCTGTCAAAAATCCTATTTTAAATTCTGACTTATTTGCCCCAGTTTTCATCCAGGGCTGGCATTATCTACCGTTAGTCCGTGTGTATATTGCGTGTGCGTGTGAGTGTGCCAGAGTGTGTACGTAACCAATTGGAACTGGGGCAACTGGCAAATACGGCAACGAATCGGTGGAGCAAAGCAAACGCCGCAATAAACCCCTAAAAAATCTCCAACCCCGTGAAGCAAGCGCGAGAAAAGCTGGCTGAAAGCTGCAACTTGGCCCAGTTACTTTGGCTCTAATTGCAGACGTGATAATAGAAGTGCACACAAAGCATAAAAGCATGAGGGTGGGAGAGCAAAAAAAAAACAGCAGTAGCATGACAAACAAAAACAAACTTCATTTGCCAAGAGTTTTTCAACCAAATTTGTTTGCCCACACACTCGTAGATACAGAAAAAGATAAAGATACAACTGCAACTCAGCTAGAGATGAGCAGCTCTTTACCTTTTTTTCAGTTTCCGAGCTTCTGAGTCGGTAAACAAAGTTTTGGATTTTTGGGGGTGGCAGGTATAATAACTGGTTCTTAAATTAACACTTGGCCGTATTCAGGGGTAGGTTTTTAATGGGGTTCTTTCACATACTTTAAAGCATTTCCTTTCGAAAATAAAAAAATGTTTTAAATTATAACAAGTATTTATTTAAATATTTATTAAAGGCATTAGAATCAGTAAAGGAAAATTGTAGTTGTAGTAGTGAGTCTTTATATAATAACAATTAATATAAATATATATTCAGAAGTCAGAATAAAAACTAATGGAATAAAATTAACTTGCAAGTGGAGAAAGTTAATATAATAAATTATACTGCTTGAAGTTCCCAAATAGTTTAACGAACACCTTAAAGCTTACCATTTTTCCAAATTTTTAATAGTGTTATAAAGAGCTTATTGTTATCCTTTCGGTATTTTCATTTCTGTGCTTCTCGTGACGAGAATGTAAACCAAAAGTACCCTGACTATGCCCCCATCCCTAATCCATCGCTCTCTTGAAGCTGAGCCAAGCAGTCTGTGCTTTTGGCGGCACATTACACTTGTTTACTTTTCAAGTGTGCGTGTGTGAGTGAGGGTTTCAAAGAGTGTGTGTGTGGGGCACCATGGGGGTGTAACTGTCTTTGTTGTTGTTATTGCTGTGCGTCGTCGTTGTCGTTTCTTCTTCGGCTATTTTTTGGGGGTCGCTCTCGTCTCGTTTGTAGGGCAAAATTATGTATTGATTATGCCTGTTTTATTTTCCTTTTGGCAGGGCCGTTGAAACTGAAAAAGTGTGGGGCACCTGCGGTCGGTTTTCATGCCCGAGTGAGCCATTTCATTGGCACAGCGATTTCGTTGTCTCTCCGCATTTAACTAATTAAGAGCCCCTGCCCACTAGCCTCCCCCTTTTTTCCGAACAATAGACGTTTTCCGGTCGCTCAGCCCAAAATGAAGTGCGTGTCCAGGGACGGACGAAAAGCTTTTGAAATTGGATATTTTAGCACACAGAGAAAAATTCTAAAATATAACTTGTAGGCGAAAATCTCACAAGAGCTGAAGCACAAACTGTTTTGATGATATTAGTAAAAGGTTGATAATTTAAAGTATACCTTAAATATTTCGATAATTTATTAAATTTGTTTTTATTTTTAAATACATACCTGTATAACCTGAAAAAGTATCTCTGAACCTATTTCTTTCTGTGTTTGTATATATGCTGTATATATTATATGTTATGCAAAATGGGTAGCATATTTGACCGACATCGGGAACAGCGGGTTTTGAAAAGCGTTTGCCCCCCGGGGGTGGCTTTTGTAATTGGAAAAGCGATCAATTGTAATCCCCCATCAGGCGGGTTTTCACTTGAATAACGCTACAAATTTAGAACTCACTACCCCATTATCAGGCCATATCTACACACATTTATTACTCATGCACAAAATACAAAAAGGAAAAGTTTAGAATAGCACTTGTTTGTTTGTTATTTTTGGGCTGTCGCTTGCCAAGTTGCTTTTTATCAATAATATGATTGATTGCTGTTCGGTTCCATTGCTTTTTTTTTTTGATGTTATTGTCGTTCCCACAACACGCATTGCACATTCTATGGCCCATTTTATCGTGGCCTTTTTGTTGTTAGACCGATATAAGGCGAATGTGAATAGATAGCGAGTTTTTGTTGGCCATTAAAATAGCTCTGTCACATAGAAACGCAATTACCAAAGGCCTCTGAAAACTCAGGTACTTAACGATTAATTCGCTTTTGAAATCCAGCTTAGTTCGTCCACTTAAGTGAAAAAAATTGGTGGAATTCTAAATGTATTTATTTATTACCTACAACTGTTTTGTTAAAAATTAGTATATAATAGCAACATTTAATAAAACTTTATGGTACTATGATATTTTTATTATTTTTTCATTTAGATAAATTTATCTTTTCAAATACCAAAGGGTCTCATTAAATTTTATTGAATAAACTCTAAAAAAGATGGTATTGACCTCCAAAATGATTTTAGCAAAGTAAATAATTATTGTAACTACAAATTGCTGCGTTGACCTACTTATTTTTAATGCGGAATTCAACTTAATTTGTAAAGCTAAAATTCGCACTAAACTTTACTACAAACATATAATTTGAACATTTTCGGAAAATGAAATGATTTTCCGATGAGCTGGCGACAATCGGCCAAACGGTCAGCGGCAAAAATGTATTAAGGGTTTTAAAAATAGGAAAATAAAAATTAATGTCAAATAGCTATTGCCGCTGCTGCTTTGTTGTTGCTGCCACTGTTGCTTTTTCGCTCTTCCCCGTACGATTTATTTATTTTTAAACGCAATTACGTGCGGGTCTACTGCTGCGATAGCAGGAGGAGTTGAGGGGGCAAAAAGGGGGTGGGTAAGGGGGGCTCGTTTCACTCGAACGCATGACGTTGACATTTTGAAAACAGCAAGTGTTCAGGCCAAAATATGATCAACATATCGCCTGCCGTCTGGCCAGCAATATACCCTTCTAATATTTCACCTTTCTCTTTCACTATCTTTTCATGTGCCGCTGATTGATGTTTCGGACACTCGAATTGCGTTGCGTTTGACTCCACCACGATTCCGATTTTCACGTGCTCCGTTTTCCCCCCATTTCCCGACCAGCAGGGCATCTAGGGCAGCAGCGGAACTGAGGCGCAGCGGAGCCGCCCAATTGCAGCCGTAGAAAGCGTTGGTGCGGGCACCATGGACTCGCTCAAGTTACCAAAGGGTAAGTGTCCACACTTGGAACTATATGTGGGTGTCACCGAAGTCTCTACTTACTCAAGTGGAACAGTGAAAACTCCTCTGTGTGAGATTCGACTTGTCACGATTGCACGTATCATTATATCCTATCATTCATAATATAAATGAAATGTAACGTTGTCTAGTCAAATGGATTAAAAAGCGATTTCAATTAAATTATCTAGCAAAAAGATTGAAATATATTAGCTATATTTTAAAAAATATTTGTAAAATAACGATTAGTGTATAAACCTTTATAAAATTGTAATCTTTAAATTTCATAAAATGTACATTTTTGTTAGATAATTCTGAAAATATGGTAATTTTAATATAAAAATACTATATATTAGGATGTTATAAATATCGAAGATATATATATATATATATATATATCGATTGGCTGTTAACCCGTATTTTCCATTAAACAGGCAACAGTGCCACCAGCAGTGCCAGCGGCAGCAACAGCAACCTGTCCGGCTCGACATCTGCGTCCGCATCTGCAGCCACATCGCCCACATCTTCGGGAAACAATGCGGCTGGAGGCATCCTCACAGGTGCACCAAAATCTCCGCCTGGCCTGAGCAGCAGTACCCCGATCACAGTCCGATTCAACGCCAACGAGGAGTCCCTGGACGACATCCTGCAGTCCTTCCATCACAGCAAGCACAGTCCCAGTGGAGGAGCGAGTGGCGGGGGCGGGGGCGATGTCTCGCCCACCTCGAACCTTCTCGGGATGAAGAACAACGGTCTGGGACTCAACACCGGCTTGGTCGTGGGTGCCTGCGACTCCCTCTCCAGCAGCCCCTCGCAGCCACAGATGCAGGGCGGATCCGCGTCCCTCTTCGGCGTAAGTACCTAAATGAATAAATAAATTCAAATTTTAAAATATATTTAGAACTTAAAATATAAGCTACAACCCACACTTACATGTTTTGGTCTAGTCATAACTATATTTTGCCAATTAGTTACGGCCAACATTTTTACAAAAATCTAAGTTCTCTACGTATTTACAAATAGGAAAAATATATAGTTGTGACTAAGATAATAGGAAAAAATATTTACATTACTATACGAATTTCAATAAAGTAGTTCCCTGAATGAGCAACAAACCGCAATTAAAAAGACAAATGAGTTAGTGAACTTTTTTCGACTAAAGATAATTTTTTAAAATTTACTATGCATCTTAGTGGAAAAATTGTTTTAATTGGATGAAATGATATTCACCACAGACTCCTTAATATGGGCAAAAACTGTGTTTTGTGTGTAATAAGAGAAATTCCCAATTCAATTTGTAATTTGATAAAGTTTGTAATTCCCATTAAGATAATTTTTGTTTTAACCCATTTTCTTGTCGCACTACAACCCAACAGTGGAATTGGATGTGCCTAATCAAATGCGTTTGGCAGTGAACCCGATACTTTGTTTACTTTCCATTCCGTTCGCCTCCCTGCCCCTTATCTTTTATCGAAAAAGGCCGCCAGAAATTATGATTCATTTTCATTCGTCGCGAGTCCAACTTTGTCGCAATTAAACATAAATTGTACAGAACGCGCCGCATTCGCTCACTGATCGTCGGTGGGTCGGTCAGTCAGTCGCCAATTAGCAAATTCGCCTGGCCAAATTAGTGGAGCACTTATCTTTTGATTTCCGTGCAGTTTCACTTTTTAGCAGCCCGATTTGGGACTCCGATTCGTTGTTCGTTGGGCTGCCACCAGCGACCATCGTCGCGTGTGTGGTGTTTGTCATTCAAATTGCGGCTATTTCGGTGGATCGGGGCGGCATAAGTATGTGACCGTTGCTGCACACACAGAATACTTTGCCAAAATTTGCAACAGATGTGCCGCAGTCGATTGCAAAATCCATTTGGCACTATTACTCACTCTTGCAAAATGTTCTTTTCTTTTCATCTCTGCCAATGACGACGACGTCGACCACAAAACTATGATGATGATGATGATGAACATGAAAACGATGATTACAGAACGACGAAGTAACTTTGCGCAATAATTTCCTGCAAGGTGGTGGCTTCTTTAATCGAAAAAGGTGAGTGCCAAAATCGAATTACTCGTAACGTAAATCTAAACACGTTTTCCTGGGGGGGAATGATGTGTGTTTGTGTGTGTACACTAAGGGTCCAAGTGTGTAGTTGCAACACCGCCGTAACATAATTGTTGTTGTTGTTGTTGCGTCATGCCAGTTAATACCTCAAATACCCCACATACAATATAAGCATAGTTAGACCCACACAACCCATCGGAAATGCATGCATTAAACCCATTTGTAGAGGGACTATTACTGCGCTTAATGTTCGCCTTAAAAGCCGAGCTTGAATTGTTTTGCAAGACGCTTCTCTGGGGACATTTTTTTGTCCCATAAAAGTTTCTATAAATTCTTGATAAAATTCTGATTTCTGCTGTAATCAAACTACAGCATTTTATGAGTGTTTCCTTTAATTCCATTGGGACCAATTTTGGTTATTTTGATAGGAAAGCAATATAATTTAGAGAACACGTGTTCGCCAATCATGACTTTAAAATAATTCAATTGAAATAATACCAATTATTTACAAATACAGGAATTGTGAAACTCTGGACTTTTTTTTTATTTTGGTCTTTAAGAGTTTTTAAACCCCTTTGTAAAGTAATAACTAAAGTGCCCCGGTTTCACAGTGTTGTACAAATTAAAGTTCCATTTTTTTTTTGGCCCCGGGTTCGTTCACCGTTGACCCTACAAAAAATTACTTCGCTGCAGTTTTGTGACTTTGATTTTGTATATGTATACGTACATATATCCTGCGCCACTTGTGCATTTTTAATGCACTCACGGCTGCAGCCGCCTGCCAATGGCCGTAAACTTGCCCCGGCCGACGGTCTACGCTTTTGTTGCTTGTGTTGCTTGTGTCGCCAACTGCATTGGTTGTTGTTGTTGTTGTTGTTTGGAGCATCTGTGGAGTGCACTAGCTAAAGGATCTGAATCAGCAGCGGAGGTGGTGGGTGCTTTGTTTATGCTGCCATGCTACGTGCAAGGTATATATATGTATCTACAGTTGTTTGTAGCCTATGCCCGTCTGCAACTTTTAGCTCAAGTGCCGCCCCGTCTGGCCAAATGGGCGGTGGGTTGGTGGAAGAGTTGCTGGGTGGGTGGCTTTGTCGTCAACGGGACATCAACGTCACCGAGCCACGTTCCGCTCGAGTTTTGTTTTTGTCTGCTCTCCATTTCCATTTGCGGCTTTTTCCCTCATTTCTCTCGATTTAAATATTAAAAAGCAAGTCGTCTAGCTGGAATTTTTGCTACCTGAGAAGCTATTGCTGCTGCTGCTGCTGCTGCTGCCACTGTTACCACCTCCTCCCGTTTGACGTCACTGCGCCTGATTCGCTTTATTGATTTTCGTGAGCTGATATCGTATGCAAATACGCAACCATATACATACATATATGGGGTCTTAAAGAGCGTTTGCTGACCGATTTTCAATTTGGACGTCAATCAGTCTTGACTATTTTGTGTCGCCTCGTTTACGCAGCACTCTGTATTCATTTCCGTTGCCATTTTAATTAAGTTTCCAAGAGCTAATTGCATTTTATAATTGCATTTTTCAACACTGACTTGGTAGTTGTCGTTGCCTTTCCGTTGCTCTTGTTACGCGTGCCCTTATCACTTCCTTTCAGACTGTCACCACCCCCAGTTAACAACCCAGCAAGCCACCAATCCACCAACCCACCTAACCACCCACCGAACGATGTTTTTGCTGTCTTTTTATCTATTTACACTTGTACACGTTTCAACATGTTTGTTATACACACATTTCATCATCATCAGCAGCAGCATCATCAGCAGCAGCATCAGCAGCATCATCTGCAACAGCAGCAACATCATGATGTCACAGCAGCAATATCAAGCCACAGCAGCAACATCGAGCTGTAAGGGCCACCTAAAACCACCCACCTGCATTTTACCAACAGCTCCCCCTCCCCCTCCCCCCAAGACACTCCCGCCGTCCCCTGGCAACGTAAGTTGTCTAGTCGGCGACGTTTTAAATTAAAAATTTCCATGCAATTTCATGTTACGGTAGCCGACCTTACAGTCTGGCATGCACTGCATTTGGTCCAATCAATTAGCATGAACGTGTCAAAGCAACTACACTCACATACACAAATATTGGCCAACAGCAGCAGCAGCAGCAGCGGCAGCGGCAGCAACAACAATAACAACAAACATAAACGTAACGAATTGATACACATTTGAACTAGTTTAGTTTTCTATTAGCATACATGTGTACTTGTACTCGTATTAACCCCTTGCCGCCCACTGTGCCGCGCGATATTTTTTTGGTTGTTGTTTTTCCTTAGAAGAATATTCCGTTTTTCGGCTTACGTTTCTTATTCTGGGCTAATTTTTTGCTGCCTCGAAAATTTTGTTGTGCAAAAGAAAGTGTTGGATTTCCCTTTCGTACCAAAAACAATCATATAAAAAAAAGAAAATAAATAAAGGAAAAAAAAAGCTCTTGATCGCTTGCGGGGGCACAGTGCTTAAAAACCGAACTAACTAATCCAAAAATATACTCAACTGCTGTGTCTATATAACTGCGCCTCTTCCAAAAACGAAAAAAAAGCTAAACCTTCGCCAAAACAAAAATAAACCCACAAAGCGCCAGTGTAACTTAAAATTTTCATTTTGATTGGATGTGTCGCCAAAGAACAAAGCCACCACAAAAAACCACCAAAAACAATACTCGTACCACCACAACCACCACCACCACCAAATTACCACCAAATTACCACCCACACCATTTACCACAGCAACAGCAATCCTACACCACAACCGCCAGCAACAACAACAAATGTCGAGAAAATGATATATAACCAATGAAACTAAAGCAACGTCGAGCATAAAGTTATATTAAAAAGGAGCAATTTAGGATTTTCATAGATCTAGCTAGTTCGGTTGTTTTAGGAATATAAAAAGCTAATAATATTAGAAATTAATAATGAAATGGGTAAACAAATTTTGTTTGGAATGTTTTTTCAACAGTGTTATATTCAAAATTAATATTTTAAAAAGAAAATTTACCAAAAAAGATCAAAAAATATATTCGTATTTTTTTTTGTTAAAATCTATTTTTCGAAAGCCGAATTTAGTAAAAACGAAGTAGGCTTGCTGATCAATGTAGTATTGCCTTACTGTCGCCGAGACAAATAAAATCATTTCTAGTTCACATTTCGTTCAGACGGTATCTCAAAATTTTTGTGTGTGATTGTGAGTGTCTGTGATGTTTAACAAAATAGTTAATTTTTTGTAAGTATTTACCGATGACTTCATAAATCCCGCAATACTTTATCAGTTATTATTTGTTTTGTTTGCAATACTTTTTCATTTTTGAACGCCGGGCGGCAATGGGTTAAGCGAACACAAAACTAATTGCATTATGGTATCTAGAATATAACCGAATCCGAAGCAAATCCTTGAACAAATTGCTCCTTTTTCATAATGCAAAAAGTATATACAGACCTGAATCAAATCAGAATCACAAATATCAAACCAAAAATCATCCACTAAAAATTGCCAATGTTGTAAAAGCCTCTTCATCTTGTTGTCCCTTCTTCCTGCAGTTGCGGCGGCCTGCCGAATCTCAATCTCAACAAGCCGCCCCAGCTCCACCAGCAGCAGCAGCAGCAGCTACAGCAGCAGCAGCAGCAGTTGCAGCAACATCAACAACTGCAGCAACATCAACAACTGCAGCAACAGCAGCACCAGCAGCAACTGTCGCCGAATCTGAGTGCGCTGCACCATCATCACCATCAGCAGCATCAGCACCGGGAAGGCGGAGGATCGCATAGCCCCTCGTCGCCGGGCGGAGGCGGTGGAGGTGGAGGAGGCGGAGGATCGCCGTACAACGGCTCCCAAGCGGGCTGCAGCAGCGGCGGAATCTCACCCATTCCCCCCCAGATGTCGGGTGTTTCGCCCAAGTACCGACGCAGCATATCCTTCCCCATCAAGGGTAATTCGCCAACGGCCCTTTATGGCAATCCGCACATGGATGGCCTGGGCAGTGGTGGGCACATGAACATACCCACCCTGTCGATTGGAAACGGTGGTGGCGGTGGCGGTTCTGGTGGCATGATCTCGGCCGGAGCGAGCGGCGGCGGAGATGCCCCCTATATGGGCAACAACTATGGCAACATGATGTCGGCCAACGGGCAGATGCACCACGGCGGCATGGACAATTCGCTGAGCGACTACATGCGCGGCATGTCGCTGGGCGGTGGAAACGGGGGCGGTGGCAACGGAGGCGGCGACGGCGGCGGCAACAGCATGGCCCTGATGCAGGACAGGATGCGCGTGATGGGCGGGCCCAAGCATCTGAGCGAAGCGGATGCCATGGCCATTGCGGCCAGCGGCAATGATCCGTCTGTCTACCTGAACGCCCTCAAGATGGGCTCGCCATCGCGTCTGTCGCCCCACTCGCCGCACTCTCCCATCCAGGGAGGCAATGGAGGCAATGTGGGCGACGGCACGGCCCGCTTCTCTCGGAAGGTATTCGTTGGCGGCCTGCCGCCGGACATCGATGAGGACGAGATCACCACCTCGTTCCGGCGCTTTGGGCCACTGGTCGTCGATTGGCCACACAAGGCCGAGTCCAAGTCGTATTTTCCGCCCAAGGGCTATGCCTTCTTGCTCTTCCAGGACGAGAGCAGTGTGCAGCAGCTGATCGACTCGTGCATCACGGATGAGGACAAACTGTATCTGTGCGTCTCGTCGCCGACGATCAAGGACAAGGCGGTGCAGATACGTCCATGGCGCTTGGCCGATGCGGACTATGTGCTGGATGCCACCATGTCGCTGGATCCGCGCAAGACGGTCTTCGTGGGCGGAGTGCCACGGCCGTTGAAGGCCTTCGAGTTGGCCATGATCATGGACAGGCTGTACGGCGGTGTCTGCTATGCTGGGATTGACACCGATCCGGAGCTGAAGTATCCCAAGGGCGCCGGTCGGGTGGCCTTCTCCAATCAGCAGAGCTATATTGCGGCCATCTCGGCCAGGTTTGT